ATGGTAGTCAGTGCCCTCTCCCAGGAGGTGAGAGACTACTCAAACACAGGGAACTCATTGCCTCATAAAACCTAAGGGGAGGGTCTTAGTTACTCATACCACTTTCAGCGTGGCATGAGCCCTGACACGGAGTCTTTTCGCTTTAATTTAAATGGCATCCACATCACCTGGGCACCAGTTGTGAGCATGGACAGGTCAAGACGCCACGGAGGGCCTGGCTCATTCCTCCCTCCATGCCAGCAGGCAGCTGCCTGCTGCCGGCAGTTACCTGCCTCACCTGCCTGCTGGAGGAGCCTTCACACAGAAGGTCCCTGAGCACATGGCTGTTATCCCATGGTCAGCTAATGGCTTGGACAAGTAGGGCTGGAGGACTGCAGCCCAACTCGAGGACATAACAAGCTCAAGTGTCAGAAACCAGGACCCCCACCAAGCTGCAACTGGACAAGCCATTTTCTAACGCCTTTAAAGACCTTTTCCCTCCCCACTTCCAACACCGGCTGGAACCCTGTGTGTATGTGCCAGCCAGGCTGGGATGTTCAGGTGCCCCAGCTGGGTAGCTCACTGAGTGCAAGTGAGAAGGAATCAACTCCTTGGGAAAGGATGTGCACGTCCATGTGCCAGATGGACTAGGTGCTGTTAAATGGGGGTATCAGTGGCCAAAAAAAAAAACTGAACAAAAAAATAGTTGAAAATGGCACATCCCAAATCTGAAGGAACCCTGACCCCCCCACACACAGGTGCTGCTCCAGCACACCAGCACCCTCACTGCACCAGCTAAGTCAGTACTAGAGCTGAACTCAAGTTGCAGCCTTGGTAGAAGAGTCAAATTTATGCTCAGACCTTAAAATTTGACTTGTCAGTGGGCAGCTGAAGAAAACTCCAAATCTTTACTTTGGTACACCAGTGTCTTCCATTGATAAGAGTGCTACAGTAACCCTGCCTACCTGGTCCACCTCAGTATGACAGGAGCTCCTACCCCAACCCCACCAGCTGGGGCAAGGAAATACCTCCTGCCACTTAGGGCATTCGAGACCAAGAGACATGACAAACCAAAGTGCATTTGAACACCACCACTGCTTGCTCTGGATTTGTCTTCCAGCAAGCTGCATGTTTCATGTTTCTAGTTTTGGTTTTGTACCCTGGACTGTTCTTCTGACACACTGTTCAAGTCTGAAAACATCCCTCCCCCCAACCATGCAACATCACTGACCTTGTGTATTACCTAGGTTTATCTTCCAGTGACTCCCCGAGCTCAATTCTTTAATCAGGCTTATATGTTTGCTGCTGAAAAAACCAAGGTACCCCAGTATGATCCTCTATTTTAGTATATATAGAAATTAGAGGGTGGCAGTTAAACTGAGACACTTTATTAAGCATTCAAAGCACTTTTGTGCACTTGTACAACATCCACTGCTCAGCAGAACGAGCAGCAGAGGTGTCACACTGCATTCTCTGCTAGACACCTAACAGATGATTGTGCTTGTACCTGCATCCAGGTGTGGTGCAAATCTTGTTTTACAGGTACCCATTAATCTCACATCATTACACATTTACTATAAAATTATTTATTAGACAGCAATACACAGCTTTAGCATTAAGCTTATATACATGCACATCAACACTGCTGACTACTCTACTCAGGGACCCTAGCTCTTCTGCCCTTGGCCTTGCGGACCTCTTCTATCAGATCTTTTAAGTACTGAATTTCCTTACTAAGGGAATCTGCTTTCTCCTTCAGGGCCTGGTTCTTCTGCTCCAACTCTCGGCACTCCCCAGACAGTGCCTCCTGTTCTGCCCTCTTCTTCTGCCGGTAACGTGTGGCAGCAGTCTTATTCTGCTCCATCTTTTTCAGTTTCTTATCTATTTTCTTTTCTCCTTTCACCTTTGCTGACACTACCTTCTCTGCAGGATGATCGTATGGTTTGGACCGCACAGAGCCACAGGTGGCATCTGCAGGCAACTGGTTGCCATTGGGGGATCCGACTGAATTGGTGGGGCTATGTTGGGGGGTTCCTAGGTAGGAGTCTGGGCTCATGCATATTCCGCTATCATCGGAATGGTTCTCCTCCTCTTTCTCGGACTTGGTGATCACTACCACAACAGCAGGGCACTCCTGTTTTCTTTCTCCTTCCAGAACATCCACTTCACTACCTAGTTCTAAACTAAACGAGTGGTCTGGAGTGGAAGTCAGAGACCCTGGGGAGAGGGGAAAAGACCAAAGGGAAGCAGAAGCCAATGGGATCATTGGATCTGCTGCAATTGGAGATTCGGGGACATGGGTGATTAGGTCATTTATCAGTGGAAGTTCTTTGTTGTGAAATTCCTGGATGGTAGCATTAAATAGGAGATCACACGTGTCTTCCAACGTGGCCATCAGCTCGTCTGGTGAGACGGTGGCTTCCAGATGTTCCATACCTAACAGGGCATCGAAATCAAATTCCTTCAGATCCATCTTCTCCACCATCCACTCCATGCCAGAGAAGGCATCCTCTGCACAATAAAAAAAAAATAATCACCTTGGTAAACTATCAACCAACGCAACTCAAGCTTTTGAAAATCACCTAGCAGCTCATCATTATTTAGCATCTTCTCTATCATATTGAGAAAACCATCAGAAGAAAATACCCTGCCACTGAACTGCCAAAGACTACAGGGTACAATGTAAGAAGTCAGCTGTTGCGACATTCCAACCCTCTTACTCAAAGACCAGAAGAATTCAGGGACATTTGAAACACACAACCATGCTTTTTTCTTGTGACCTCTGCCAGGAAACAGTACCATTAGCAACTGGTATGTTACTAAAAGGGCAATAGAAGTGTCACTTTACCATAACCAGCAATTCTGTATTGTGTAAGCAGCGCGGTAAATGCGCTTTCCAAGCAGAGGTAATGCATGTGAGTTTGCCTTCACATTTATGAAAACCTAGCAATTTATTTTTAACCTGAACGTTAATAAACTATTATGTACCACTATAACTGATACACTTTATGCAAATAAATAATATCTTACCCTGGCTGCTATCTATGGTGTTGCCTAAACTGTCCACAGCAAGCCAATTGGAGGAGACTGCCTTAGCCTTGTCGCTGGAGAACCCATGCGAACCGAGGGGCTCGGCCACCTCCAGGTAGTCATCTAGGAGTCCCAGACTTTCCTCAGCCACCGAACACGGCTGGCTGAAGGGGGATATTGAATCCCCCAACAGCATCTCGTTGTTCAAGAAGCTCATCTTCGTCAGTTTTTAACGCTTTGACGTCAAAGGATGTGGTCAAGTAGAGGGTCTTTTCGTCGACTACAGCAATGCTGCTGTGCGATGCCGTGAAAAACCTGCCAACAGAACTTAAACTCGTGAGTACTGGGTTTGACCAACATAGTAGCCTTTTAAAGCTGTAACGCTTCGGAAACGCGGTGGTACTTCCCGGGCGGCAGGCTGAGCACAGCCGGGCGCGGGCTCCAGCTGCGGGCGCCTCCCTCATGCCCGGGCAGGGACGGGCCCCGCCCACCCGCCGCCATTTCGCGATCCGGCCGCCATTTTGTGCCGTGCCACGTTTCCACCGCGGCTCCAGCACCGACCGCAGGCAGCCGCCCACCCTGCACAGGGCTCACTCGTGCCCCGTGACCAGGGCAGGCTTTACGGTACAGTACTCAGTTATTTGGTATTAGCTCTGCTGCCAGCTTGTTAACAGCCCTCATTTATCTACTCCTGACTATAAACCAGAGTGGCACTGATACTCAAAACCCCAATACCTCCAGTGCCCCATTTCCCACCAGGTACAGCATTTCCCCTCACGGGCGGGAAAAAACCCTCCCTAGGAATGTACTGCTTTTACTTAATTTCCCACGAAGCCCCCATGAATAAAAAGTTAAGCATTTTGGAATCGAGGTTTCTTGAACGAAAGGAGACATGGACGTTCTTCGTAACTTATTCCGTAATGGCATTTCCTGCCATTTCTGACACCCTCCGCCCTCGGGATGTTGAGCCCCACAAAGATCCCTTCTCCCCGCACCCATTTTGGTATACGCAAGTGTTTTATATATTATTCGGTATACCTAGGTATCTCCCTCCGCCCTCCGTGAGATACCACCGATCACCACAGAGGTGATAAACCCGCCCCAGAAGCCCATTTAGAGGGGATAAGAAGAGGGCGACTATCAACACGAAGGAGAGGGAGCAGCCATCCCTCACACACAATACTCACGCCATGGTTGCAGATGCCGGGGATGTGCTGGGGCCGCCGCCGCTGCTGCTGCGCCTGCTGCACTGGCCGATGCCGCCGCTGGCCCTGCCGCCTTAAAGAGCCATGGCGGCCAGGGGAGGGGGACTGCTCGGGTCCGCGCCGCGTGGGGAGGTGCTCCGCACACTCGCAACGACACAACCTCTACGACCAGGACAAGCACACAATGAGGTGGCACCGCCCGCGCGCCGCCCTTATATAGGAACCGCCTTAAGGCAGACCAGATGCGATAGTGAGGTGTCCTTCCGCCAAGCGTCACCTGCCTCTCGCTAGCGCCTATCGGCCTATGTCCTGTCTTTCTGGGCTTCTCTCCTGTCGTTCTCCTACGGGTTAAACGCTGGAGCCGCCGACACAAACCACGGCTCCAAGACGAAGTAGCCACGGAAGGACTCTATGGTGCACAGCTACGGAGGGACTATATGGTGTATATCCGCCGCGGCTGCCCCCCCTCGGCGGGCGCAGCCGCACCACGTGACCGGAGCGGCTCAGGACGCTCCCCCCGCCCCCCCCCCCGCGGGGAGCGTTGCGGGAGGTTCACCCGCCAACAAGGACGCGGCGCTCGCGCGGAAGGCATCACGCGCCTCTCCACGTGGGAAGGGCGGCGCTCATTGGCTACTGGCGAGTCGTTAACCTGCATCGTGAGCTGTCATTGGCCAAGGCACGGAGGAGACCAACGCTGAGGAGGGGGAGAGGAGAAGGAGCAGCTGGGCAGGGAAATGGCGCCGGGCCGGGAGGGGGATGGAGATGGGGCGGGAAGGAGGAGTTGGGCAGGGAAGTGGTCCTGTCCCCGCAGCCCCGCGCCTTCTCTGACATGCCCCTCTCGAAGCAGCGTGTGTTCCCCACTTTGATTTCCAACGGCCCCTTTTGTTCTCTACACAAAGGCCCGCTGAGGTCGGGCCGACGCTGGCGGCGGCGGTGGCAATGGCGCGCAGAACGGGCTGAGGCGGCCCGCCATGGCCTTCTGCTCCCTCAGATAACGCGTCAGCCCAGGGCAGCGCTGTCTTCCCTCCCTCCCTTCCTGCCTGCCTGCCTGCCTGCCCCACACATGCAGCGCTTAGATTATAGCTGCTCTGGCACTGTGTGGGGGGGGGCGTCTGCCCGGGGCTTGCCGTCCTTACAGCGGCCATGGCGCCGCACCGACCCGCAGAGGTTCTCGGCTGGAGAGCAGGGCAGCCGAGACCACCAGTCTAATTAGTGCCTTCAACCTATGCAAGGGCTGAAATGAAATTGTTATTCCCCACCTGAGAAATGAGAACGTCCTCTCCTGCCATGCGGTTTCATGCTGATGCAGTAGATTCTCTGTTCTCTGTGCAGATGTTACTCTGAGTAGCGTGAGCATTACTAGATCACCCACAGAGCCTCGCTGCCGTAAAGGGCAGTGTCACCTTGGATAGTTTTTAAAGTGCAGTTTCATGTTATGTTTTATCTGATCCAAATCAACTTGCTGCTAGGAAAAAAGTGAGACATCTTCCCCCACCCTATTCCTGCTTAACAATTCCACCAGCTGGCCTGCCCCTCTCTGAGACAGCTCACAGCTAGCAGGAAACTCACAGGGGTCAACAGTTTTCCACTGGTTTCAGTTCCTCCATCATCATTTCACTCTGGTCAGACGAGCATTGGCCAGCTCTGGTGAGCTGGGAGGTTCAGTACTGTGTCCTTCCTGTCAGAGTTATCTGGCTTCAAAAGGTTGGTTTTCCACATTGCCAGCCTCACAGCACCATCAGCTCTGGTGGGTCCTCATTTGTTCAAACATCATAGTCCTGTGGGTCAACTTGCTCTCAGCTACTTCTACAAAAGGCTTCACTATTTTCCAGTTACGATCTCGACAGTATTTGTGTAAAGCCATAGCCACATTTGCTCAGGTCTAACTGCCTGGAACCTCTTAAGCAGCTTGACTGATAATTGGCAAGGATGTGATGTGACACAATTTCTACTTTTAGCAGTCTGATGTTACCATCACTGCTACAAGCAGAGTATGTCACTCCACATCTGTATTTGGTTTGGTGGGAGGAGGTGTTGTTGAGTTTTTGGGTTTTTGTTTGTTTCCTTTTTTTGTGTGTAGAAGCAAGCACATATTTTGTAATGACTCATTAAAATAGAGGAGGCAAAGAAAAATGTCCTCCAATGCCAAAAAACACCACAGTAGCAATCGATTGATCTAAGATGACTGCTCTGATAAATACGCTACAGAGGAGGCAGATCTTGCTTCAAAGAAAAACTGAGAGGATACATCAGCTTTCAAAGAAGCCAAGTGGGTGATTGGCTGGGTGGACAGCACCTCTAAGTCCTCACTGGCTAAGGGAGAGCTCTCACATCCCCTGCTGTGCCTGCTTTCCCCTGCTTTAAGTGAAAAGGGTGATTTTATGACCATAATCGTAGCTAAATAAACAGCAGTGCTATACACACCCAATCCTTCATCATGAAAAGATAATTATAGATTTCTCTGAAAGGACTCTGGGTATGTGTGCGCAAGAATCACGTAAGCAAAAATAAAATATGTAATGAGGGACTTAACCCAGATCTGCCTGTTGCCTAGCTCCATTTTGTGTGTGAAGTAACGTGGAAATTTGACTGCATTACTAGTTCTAGACAGATACTTTGTAACAATGCCCAACCCAGAAAGTGAAATCAAGTAACAAGAAGCCAGCCACTTAGAGACAAGCATATTTTTCCTGCAAGACTGCAGAATTACTGTTGTTCCATAATTTCATGAGCTACATCCCCAATTCCTTTATAAATGATCTTTCTTCTTTTGCACATATTGTGTCAGAGATGTCTCCACTGTGGTTAGAGTAACAAGTAACAATTTCTTGCGAATTTTTCCACAAAAAAAATTACAAGTATTTTCTAAGCAGAGAACTACTAGCTACCCACTACTAACTAAAAAATGTCTAAAAAGAGTTCCTTTACAGTATGACAATATATTTGTGGCTCAGAGACAGAGGAGAGAAGTCTGGCAGCTCTGAAGAAAATTTAATTTACAGCACAAAAAGGTGGCATCTGAAGGAAGATCAATTTGTGTGTGGGTCAGTAACTCCTGCTGTCACGTTAACAGCTTCAGCACCATGGATGTTATTTTGCTGCCCTGGATACTGTACCACGGCAGAGAGCTCCTGTGATAAGCGAGATCCATCCCGACCCAGAAGCGAGGGGCCAGCTGCAGGGGAAAGGAGCTGCTCGTGCAGAGCTCACTGCAGGAGAGAAGCCAAAGACCTGGCTGGGAAGCGATGAACTGCCCTGATAAATACAGCACAGCAGAGAGCCACCTCCGGCCAAACAGCATCACCAGGAGGTGGAAAACTATTACTCCTCCATTCACCCTCCTCCTTCATTAAGATGGAAGGTCAATGTATGTTCTTTAATTATTTCTTTCATATTTTTTTTTAAAGTAAACATTGCAAAGGAAAAGAGGCTTTCTTCTTCCACCACCAAGTATACAGGAAACAAACATTCTGAATGCTGTTAGCAAGTACACCAAAGACCAGGAGGACGTAAATGTTTCCATAGTAACATCCCCTTGCACAGTCTGCATAGGATGCTCTCGGGGACTGTCAGTGGCAGGGAAACGCCTCCGTAGCAGGGGAGCAAGGAAGGTGGGGAGCAGTGGATATTGCTGGGGTCAGGAGGGGAACCAGCAAGAGTGACTGAGACAGAGATGTTTGCTGTTCCCTGGAGTGCTGGGAAAGCTGCAGCTAGGGAGAAAGGCTGGCTGACACTGCATCAGGAGGGAGTGTGACCCCTACGGTGGCACTGGGCAGGCAGCTTTGGGCCCCCGGTGAGCCTCAGTGCCCCAGAGAAGGGGCAGATGGGCTTCCTGCTGGTCCTGGGTCCTGCTGAGGTGGCTGGGGAGGAGGGGTGAGTGTGAGAGCAAGTCCCGAAGGGAATTCTCGTGAGTGGTAACTTGAATCCTTTGAACCTTTCATCAGAAGGGACAGGAAGCCTTATCCCACACTTCAATGAACAAAGCATTTCCAGAGACCAGCAGGAATCTTTCTGGGAGACAGGAGTGTTGAGGGAAACATAAGGGAGGAATGAGGCAAAGCAGACAGACATTTTGAGCAATTTTGAGGGAGAATTACCTACAACCTCTATGGCACAGGCTAATTTGCAGTGCTCAGTTGCTTCTGTCCTCAATGCCACAAACAGATATCTGAAGGATCTTTTCTGCCAGATTCTCATTGTAAGCTCTTTAGAGATTCCTTTATAGACAATCCATTTTGAAACTAGATTGAAAAGCAAATATATGTGATTAAAGATCAGGCTGGGAGGTATTAGCGTCCATCTTTTATTACATACAAACAGAAAATAAGTTATCCGTATGCTCTGCCTCATTTGTTTTGGACTGGTACACCAAATGGAATCCCTAATAAATCATTCATTACATACCCACCCACCCCTTCACTGTCTTCTGTTTCCATCCTGTAATGTAAATATCCCTGACATTAGAAATGAGACTAATAAAAAAGAGGATTAAATCTGCAATTTACATTTGTAACTTACAGTTCAATTATTTTAGACAGATATGGAAACAATTCTGGTTGTCCACCTACATTTTTCTTACTGAACAAACATGGGCATGCCAAGCACATGCTGATAGCTCACAAAATATGTCTCTCCAAAGGCTTAGTTACTCAGAATCAGCCAGGATGTGGCCAGCTGCCACAAGTAAAAACATTGTGTAAATCTGGTAAGAGTGAGGTGAGTTTTAACTTGCAACTTGCCCAAGCATGAATTTCCTGAGCAAAGCTACAACTGGTTGAAAATGATGTTTAGCAAAAAATATGTGTGAAGGAGGGGGAGGAGGGGGTGCTGGCTTTTGTTCAACCATGGGGGATATTTTTAGTTTTCTCGTTGTCCAGCCTTGTTTTATTATGATGAATGGATTTGGGGGTCAAAAATAATCCCTCATGTGTATTAGCACACGTGGACTCAGTTTAGCACAGACACAAAAGCCTTCCCGTTGTCCAAGCAACAAATGAACAGAAACAAATTTCATGGCAACTATTGCTCTTCATGGGTCTGTAGTTGATGTGAGCCCCCTGCAAACTGTGTGCTCAGTGCCTATCAAAATGTGTGTATCTGTATGTTACCAACACCTGCTGGAGTCACACGTGCCAGGTGTTTTGTGCCATTTTGTGCAAAAAGATGAAGAGGAGACTGACAATGCATGTTGATTTTTTTCTAGCAGTGTGAAGTTAGCAAGAGCTGAGGCCTGACAATCAGGTTTGGACTATGAGACTGCAGCATCTTGGCCAGCCACAGACACCAGTGGGTGAGTTAACAGCTCATCACCATTTCAGTGGATTTCTCTTTCACTGTGTCAGTGCCTCTTAGACTTGACAGCGTGAGGACTTCTTGCTGCATCAGCCTAGTGGCAGTTGCACTCCTGAACCTGGCTTCTAAACTGGCAGCTTCATCTGGAAAAGTTATTTGAGCTGAGTTATTTCAGCCTCTGTGTTCAGTGAGGGGGGGGAGGGCACACAATCAAGGCTGATAATACCAGACTATGCTCTGTGAGCCCCATCTAGGGATTTGTTTTTAATTTCACATCAATTCATAGTGTTTTGATGAGGCCAGGAAGAGACCGTGAGTGGGTATACTCTATGAACGAAGTAAAACAGAGTTCTGGGGATCTTTGGGGTGTGCATGAGGTCTCTTTTATTCTGATGCTGGCAGGCAGCTTCAGCAAGAACTCTGAACAACCAGGTAGTTCAGATGAAGCTCTGAAACTCTTTTGGGGATAAATCACTGTTGAGGCTGTAGCTGCCCAAGTCCCTGGGGATGAACACTGCAGCCATTATTCAGTAATAATTTTCCACTCTTCATAGGCAACAACTGCTCAGTGATTTACAAGAACACTTTGTTCTGTTTTCATATATACTTGTTTACAAAGGGGGAGAGAGAAATTCCTGGTGGATGTTGACACAGTTGTGACACCATTGAGTTTATAGCTTTTTCCTGAAGGAATGTCATTTTTTCTCCTAAGCTCTCTATGTTAGAGGATTTGGCAAACATTGTCAGAAAGAATATTCTTTCAGAGGACTCTGAAACTGTTCTTCTCCCTGCACTCATACATGGGCTTGTGGGTGGCTTCGGCAGAGCCTCCTCAGATGCACTACAGGGCAGCTGGCCATGGGCAAGCTGGAGAATAGTTCCCAAAGAGACTTTGCAGCCAAAGTATCATACTGAGTAGGTGCTGTGGCTTCTTAACTCACTGACCCTCTTACTGCTATTACTGTGGTGCTTGGTGAGGGAGGTGGTGCAGCTCTTGTGACAGGAGGAGGTTTCTGTGCTTGACTGCTAAGAGAACTGGTTTGAGATTAACCCCAGATCTGTCTGATCTGTCTGAGGAACCATCCACAGTAAACAAGCTCTGTTGGGGAGGTACTATTGGCCTGCTTTTTTGGCACTCACGGGGTGAGACTTTGTTGAGGCCTTGTCCTGGCATTGTGATGACAGGACACGTCCTCTGGGTCTGAGGCAACACAGGTGTTATTCAGGAAGGTAACATTTGAGCCATTCACCTTAGTCACCCAGTTTCAGTGAGACTGATTTGGATGGACTTATCAGAAACACAGGTCTCAGACAGGCTCTGTCTGACCACAAAAGGGTAGGTCTGTCCCAGGACACAAAGCTTGGGAGCTACCGGTCTGCTGGTGACACCAAGCACCCTCCTTTGCAGTGCAAAGTGATGGACTGAAGACGGATCACACTTTATTAATTTTTTTTTTTTAAACGTAAGAAAGAAACTACAAAATTAAATATATAAAAAAAAAAAAAAAAAGAGAGAGAGAGAAGACTCCTAACCCAAAACATTAGCTCATTGTTGAAGAAAAGGCACTGGACTAGATGCTTTCTACTGTCTCTCTCATGACCACAGACAGAGATTTTGAAAAGAGAAGGTCTGTGCCTTGATCTCGCTCTTGCCTCAGCAAAAACCACCCTCTCTGTGAATGCCGGGGAGCTGGGCCCCTGCCAGCCTGCTCTCTAACAAGCAACGTGGGAGCTGCGGCTCTGCAGCCTGTGGGACCACTGTGTCTTGTACTACCTTTGCTTCAGTGTATCTCAGCCCTCTGACAGTGTATCACTGCTGCTGTAAACAATAGCAGTTGAAAGAGTCACATTATATTATCCAGATAAGTGGCAGTAGTTATTGTCTCCAAGGCCGTACATAACAATACTCTGTGCTAAATAAATTCAAGACTTTGAAGGCAAAAATGTCTTTCTGCCATACTGCCTCCAGGAATGATCGCTTCTTGCCTTTCAAAGGGGGTAAGGAGCCTGCCAGGGCTCCTTACAGGTTTTGAAGTAACATCTGTCACGGGACAGGTAAAGAGCCAACACAGTCCATCATTTGCCATCTATGCCCTCGTGTCTGTTGTCTGTTAGGCCTTTCCTTTGCAATGCTAAGCAGAATGAGAGGAGAGTCTTACAGAACTGGGATCATTGTAGTGGGATGTTTTATGGGGCACTGTATCACCCCATGCTTCTGTGGAACAACAACAATTCTACCACAGTGAAAGGCAGGGGAAGGGGTGGATTTGCACTGAACCAAAGGAACTGTTGCCTAAAAAAATAAAATCCAAAACTAAATCCAAAACACAAGCAAGCAACTTTTGCCCATTATTTGTATGGAGAAGGCTTTTCATGAAGAATGTGGTTAGCATTGAGAGATATATATATATATATTTCCCCTGAGAAGCTTAGCACTGAGTGTTAATAGACAGATCAAAGAGCTACTTAGCCACAGGAGCCAGGGAAACTGAACCAGGGCAGCAAAATAAAAATCAATCTGGCTTTTAGTGTGTTTAATGTGATTTTGTTTAGAACTGACTTCTGTGTGAGGACTTAGGAAAGCTTGAGATCATGAGAAGTTTGTCTCCCACTCTCCTGCTCTTCATAAAATGACAAGAACCCTTTCTATCTACAGAATGATTTCAGATATTCCCTGCCTTTGGTCTCATCACCCTATTTTGCCTTATCTATTTGCAAGATTATTCCACCAGATCACATACTATAAAGATATGAATAGCCTGCTCACCACGACATTTCTGGCTCCATGACTTGTGAATAATGCGCTCCTTCTCAGAGTATGCTAGTAAAAATTTTAGACTGTGCTATCCCTGACTGTGTAGGGGACACACTTGTTAAATGAGAGCTATTTCAAGAAGGTGTTGAATCTAAAAAAAAAACCCAACAAAACCTGAGAGGGAGGACATTTCTTGAATCCCTTAGATCATAAACTCAGATCATAACTGAGCCTGACAAGAATAAAGAAGACAAAATCCAGATACCTCAAACAGTTCCCCAAGTATCTAGACTTCAGCAGTTCTCCCAGGACTGGAAGCCAATACTGGGTTTCACTGAAAGGAGAGAGAATTTCCCATTCCTTGCTTGCTTCATCTGTGGGCAAAGCCCAGCATTTCAAAATCCAGTCCCAGATTCAGTGAGCCATGCTGGAGCCATTGAATCATACCTAGTGCAGGTAGTGGGTAAACATATTTTATCTTATCTGAAAGAGAAACTCCTCATTTAGAAGAGGCTCCTCTTTTTTTCCATGAGACTAAATGTAAAAAACGGCACAGCAGTGGTCTGCAGCTTTCCTGGAGTTTAAAATCTTAAAACTTAAAAAGACATGGATGCGATTAAGTATTTAGGAAAAAAAAACAAACAACATTCATCACACAGTTTAGCATGATAATCTCAAATTTGGGGTTCAGTCATCCTTTTCTCCCCAGCTTAAGATTAGCTACAAAATAGGCAGGCTGGAATTTATTTATTCATTTTTAAAATTAAGAGATGCAAAAATAAATAAGTAAAATGTAAGATCAACTTCATTAATATCCAGGACAGGACTGTGGTTATATAACAGAGCAGGAAAAATATTATACTTTTTTCAAAATTCACTTTCCTCCTAAACTGTTCCTTAGGCTAAGAACAAAAGAGATTCTGAGTCTTTGCAGCCTGGAGTTCTGTTTATGCTTTTCTTCTTTGTGGACACTTGAAATAATTATCATCACTCTGCTCAATTATTTCTTCTCTCCATCAGAGAGACTTATCTTCTGATCTTTCCTCCCTATTCATGCCAGAACAGCTTGTATGCAAAGATGCAAACCGCTGCATATATTAAGCATGTATTGTAGGCTCTAGGCATTCCAGGGGCTTTGACTTGAGGGGGTAATACTTGTTGCAGATTCCACAGGCAGCTGATTTTAGATGTTCCTGTAAGAGTCTGTACGGCATGAAATGTGCTTGATCTCATCTGAGCTGTTTCTACAGCGGGACGGATTATAGGAAAAAAACCAAAACAACACAAGCAAGGGGTATCGGGAAAAAAAAGAACTGTAGATTCCCTTTGTATCATAAAATGTCTTCCAAAATAATTAAATGTTAATTAGAGTCCTCATTAAAACAAGTCTCACAGGACAGTGTTGTCACTGTAGCTTATCTGCCCAGATTTAAGGAGCCTGGGACCCATTAAAAGCAGCATCACTTCATGCTTTATTTGATGTCCAGCATTTCTGCCACACCTTCCCAAGCGGGCACTGGGTCTTACTGCATAGAGCTTCAATACATCAGACACAGGCCCCTGGCAAAGAGGTTTCCTCACTGCCTCAAGGCTGATGCCTGGATAAAAGAGGAGTGTATTTGGCAGGACAGAGGATTGGCATATAAAAACCAAGGTGTGACTTGAACAAGGGCGGGGGAGTCTGCACAGGAAAGTTTAATATTACAGAGGCACAGAAGCCTCTGAAGTCTGGGGAGCCACATGAAAAGCAGGTGCCTGCCTGGGCAGGCGGGCTATCAGGGAAAGGATAGGAAGCACCGCGCCATAATTGCGCATCATCTTGTGACTGGTGCGAATGCTGCCAGGAGCTGGGATGCTGCAGTACCGAGCTGATTGCTCCCTCAAGACAAGCTGCAAAGCATGCCCAGAGCTGCAAAGGGAAAGCAAGTGAATCAGCAAGGGGCATGTCAGTCCCCAAGCACTGGTTAGGTGCAGAATCATATCAGCGTGAAGATGATGCATAGAGATGAAAGCAGAGAGAGATGCTCCTTTGTTTATAAACACACCAAAGACAATCAGGTTACTGTGGAAAGTCATTTTATTTCAGAATTCCACGCACTCTGTCAGAGACCATGCACTTGGACTTTCCCCTTTGCAAATCCACAGCCTCCAGGCCTGGGAGAGATGGAGCATCATCTCTTCATTCTCACTGCGAGTTGCCCACATACTAAGAGCGAGGGCCCTGATGGCACCTCGCCAGGGGGCAGAAAGCAGCCTCCTGTTTCCCACAGGGGAAAATAAATCCATCTGACTTGAACGAATAGCAGTGGAGCTCAGCAGCAGTGAAACCCCACAGCTGAGCACGTTGGTCCTCATCCTGTGGTTACAGGGAATAAGACGACAAGCTCACAGGAAGCTTGTGTGAGCTAAGCTATAGCAGAACACACCAAGACATTCTTGGAGCCCAGGCAGTAACCAGCTCAACACATGCCCTGGGTCTCTTACAATCAATCTGTCTCTGAGCCACTCTGCCAGGAAGGTGGCCTGGAGCTGCCCTTTTTACATTCAGCTTTAGGTTCTCCTGCTCTGTGCTACAGATTTGACTAGGAAGGAGCCTACCTATAGGTAAGACAGCCCTCCAGGCTGTACATAAACATGTGCACTGCATTTAATACTGAAAGGTGCCAGTTAGACTTTGCAACATTCTGTTTGACCCACAGGCTGGGTACAGCATTACTGTAAGTTTCCCGCATTCTTACCCTACACCTTCTTCCCTGCCCCTTATGCCTGACCCTGCTTTTAAAAGATTCCTAGTTGCAGTGTGTCCCTATGACCCATCACGTCTTTGGCCTTTGTTGAGACTGTCACTACCAGGGCAGCTATTGCCTGCTGTGGTGGCTGCGTGTAGGGAAGTGAGCATTTGCCTCCTGAGAACAGGCTTGTGGATAGCTCAGAGGAGGGCAAAATGAAGGGAAGATATGATGGAAGTGATTGAATTCAAGTGAAGTTGAGTAGAGTCTACAGAAAAGGCAAAAAGGCAGCTTCAGTCTCGATTTGATACACAAATTGAGCTCAATAGCAGCAAAAAATGGCCATAAAATATTAATTCATTAGGTTGCCAGGAAGAAGTAAAAGCTTTCATGTAAAAAATTCTGTACAGATATATGTGTGACAACTGTTCTCAAGTCAGCTCAGACAGTGGTGTCTCCCTGTTCATATCTCACCTTTTTTTTTGTATCTAGAGTTTTGATCACTTCCAACCACATTGCTGCTCATTTCTGTGTGAAGACCATGGTACTGGAATCAGCACCAAGAGAGCAGTGACATCATGCTGAAGAAATGAACTTTGGGGGAACTCCTGACAACCCAGATATTTTAATATTTTTGTTGACCTTCAAGTAATTAAAAAAGGGGAATTTCCCCCAGTAGCCTATAAGCTCCAAGTCCCATCTGTCTGCTTTTAGGGTAGGAAGGCTGACATCAGAAAGGCAATGGAGGCCAAGGAAAGGAAGAGGGGGAAAAAATCTGGGAACTAGAGTGAAGAGCAATCAACAGTTGACCAACACTGACTCCTGCAAAAACTTACAAAACACACAGTCATACAAATGGGATTTCTGTTAACCTCTGATAGACTATAGACTTTATATACACACACAAACTTCAAAGTACACATCTGGCAGTCTAGAAAATACCAGTACCCTAAGGATTAAATAATTTAAAATGCAATGTTGTGTTATCACTGTTTACAGAATAGTATCTGACACATTGGCTAAAATGGACGGATTGTCCGAGAAAGATGCTCCCTCCCTCATCTCACCAGCACTGCCTCTAAAAAAAACCAAGGGCAAAAGACTTCCCTCTGTGGTTCAACTCCTGAAATTCACCTTGAAACTTCTCTGTCAAAGAAGGGGGAAGTCCTGAGAAGAAGGGAGGAGAAAAGGATAAAGGGATTCCTGCTCCCTCCAAGCCCTAATGTTGCAGTAGCTCTCTCCATTGGCTAAGGAGGCTGGACAGTAAGGGGGGAAAAAAGCTGATAAAGTTGGGGAAAGGCAAGTATGTTTCTGTAACGATAGCTATGCTGGTCTTTTGAGATACACACAGAGCCCAGACTCGGGGGGACACCCTCTCTCCCCCTTTTTGCAGACAGCAGGCCGGATGGCTTAATGCAGAGTATACATAGTCGACGGCCTGACAGTAGCCATAAACAAGAGTGGGCAGAAGGTGTGCCCTCACCAGCTTTCTAAGAGTATTGTAAATTGGGAGCACTGGAAAGTCAGCACATGGGAATGAGGAAGGGAGTGGACAGCCACAGTTCTGGGGAGGAGACTAAAACACACACAGAGCAGATGGCAAACCTAATATATCTCCAAATGCCAGCTCTGTATATGTACCCTAATACCAGTGTATGGGATAAAACCTTGCTGATGACATCAGTTCAGTTCTATCACTTTCACAGACTTGTAGCTGGTGAGAATCTAGCTTGTGTGTGCTTATCACAAAGCCCGTTGAGGCATGCAGTCTTGTTTCCACCTCCTGTAAATCAGAACAGCCACAAGCTCCTGGGGAAACGATGAAAAAAACCAATCCCCATTCCCATATGTGTCTCTCCCACCCCTCCGCCAAAACCCATCCTCTCTTCCTTTATGCCAGAGACAGCGAAGGAGTTGCCTTGTTCTCCACTCCCGAGGCCATTCCCAGCAGATCTGGCTAGGCAGGAATGGCAAGCCCTGCTCCTTTGGCCTCATCACACAGCCAGACCACAAAGGTTCCTTCCTCCCCTATGACAGCTTCAATGAGAATTGCCCATACTGGAGGTTGTGTTGCAGCATACCGGACAAGCCTTAGCCCTTAATCCTGAACCCAGCTTGCAAAGGATGAGAAGGCTCCGTAGGAGCAGGAGGTGCGGGAATTCTCCTATTCCAAGCGCTACAGCCCTAAATACTGCCAGTGTAATTATGATCCACTCAGAAATACAAAACACAACCCTATTCAAAACATCTCACTCAGTCTGCCCTGCATGACTGGGTCAAAGGGACAAAAAAGAAAGGAAAGTGAGACAGTTTGGGACAGCAGAGAAAAAGAAACATGGGGCAAAGTCACGCTGGAGGAAATTAAATGACCTCAATGCAAGTCTGCTAAAATTGTCATTGGATTTACCAGCCCAGTTCCACCTTCTTCAGACCAAAATGGACTCGCTGCAGTAAGTGTACTACAGAAGAAAGAAGTGCATAGTTTGGTTTATTTTTTTGGTAGACACTTCAGCAGAATTTATGTGAAGATCTTAGAGCTGCAGTTTTAGCCTCTCTTTCCTAGCCAATGGGTACCTGTTGGGGCAGAGATGGTGGAAATGGACCAGTAGCACCAATAAATTCAGTGGGAGCACCAACTCCACAGCAGGAATTACTAATGAACCAAAAGGAGGGAGTGGTGGAGAGAGAGAAGATAGGGAGAAGTGGAGAAGACATAATTCGCAGTAATCAAAGTCTGCATTGGCTAAACCCTATCAACACTTCCCTAGGTAAGGCCCCATTACGTCTGCAGCAAGACCTCTGGCTCTGACAGAGAGCTGTAGAGGGTGTAGCCCAACTCATCCACTTCTTCAGGGGTGAGCTCTGAAAACAAGTTCACCTTGGGGTTCAGAGCACTAGGGAGGACACCTGCCTCCAAGTAGCGGATCAACCCCTTCAGTGCCTGCAAGAAGCGATCAGCCAGCATGTCCTGGGACCAGTCAGACTCCTCCTGGGATAGGTGCAGGATGACATTGGTGAGCTGGCTGGCAGTGAGGTGACCCAGAGCTGGGTTTAACTTGCATACTGCTTTGAAGATCTTCAGGCACAAGCAACGGCAGCCAGAATCCCCCTGGTCCAGGGCCCGGAGGCGAGCCGTTTCTGCTGGCCGCAGGCTCAGTCGCCACAAATTGTCATTCTGGGCCAATCGATGAGGTTTGGCAACAAGGACGATGTCACCCAGTGTCAGGGATGGTAGAAAGTCAATAAAAAGATGACGATCTGGATCATATTGAACTTCCAGCGTCAAATCTGCTGGGGGAGCTGCTGGACGGATCACATAGTCCAAGAGACTCCCAATTGCTGGCCAGTTGATGGAGCCAGCTACAACTTTCTCAAAGGTGTCTGCTACAGTTTTGGGAGAAAGGTAACCTCCCACCACACAGCGGTCCCAGTAGCTGCTCCCACGGGGAAAGTACTCTGGGTTTTCTCGACGCACCAAGTAGAAGCCAGGAATGTTCATGATAGTGTCCTCCCCAGGGATACACGACCACAAGTTCTGCTCCAGCATCAGAGGCACAATGAGCTGGATGTGGTCAGCTGTCACTACCTTTCACAAGAGAGAAAAGTCAGTAAGAACAAGCTTTCTCCCTCCACAGTCATTTAATTCACTATGTTTAGACAGCCTTCTGTCCGAAAGAACTTGGAATAAGGATTCAGCTGTCTCATTCTCCTCTCTGTGTGGGATTCACATCCTCCCTTTGTTAAAAGGCATTCTGAAGGACTATTTTGGACTATCAGTGGGATAATATAATAATATAACCCAAGCTAGTGCTTACGTGGTATGTACTATTTAGAGACCTGACATGGACTGCATAAAGATGAATCATTTTGCCTCATATGCTGCCTAAGTCAGCTGCTTGGATGTGAGATGCAGCTGGCCTAGGGCACAGCAACGCTACATGACAATTTAAAACAGGAGGCATGAAGTATTAAGTTTCTAGACAAGCTTAGGTTGCCATGGTTTAATGATGCCATGCTACAGCTAGGTACACTGCCCTCACCTGGTCTGCCACATTGTTGGGAAATAGGTCATTAAAGATCCCTTTTTACCAGTGTGATTAAGATCTCAGATTTAAGTTTCACTGGCCCCTCGACACTCCATTCCAGAGCTCTGACTCGTACAAAGAAGTGTGCCTCTAAATCACTCACTATAGCTATGGGCATCTTGGAGATATTGTAGCAGGGACTGCTGGCAAATCTAGTCTGTCATGCATTTAAAAAAAAAAAAAAAGGAAAAAAAGAGTAGGGAAGACAACACCAGAGCAGCCTGGTCATGCCGGTTCAAACAGCACTGCAGAAATCAACGCTTGGCTCCACGGTGGGAAAGGCAACCTTATTCAGGGGCCTTATTACTGAGAAATGCTATGCTGAGCCAGCACTGCCGACTGGGAAGCCTGAAATGCTCCTGCTTAGTCAGCCTTCTGAATAAGGACCCAGCACAGGGCCTAGGAATTACCTGCAGGTCATCGTAGAGGCTGCCGCTGAGGTACATGTCCCGCAGGGGCATGTCCGGCAGCTTGGCACGGAGGAAGCTGCGCAGCTCCGCACAGATATCCACGGCTGCCTGCTTGGCCCGAGCCTGCTCATCCGCTGGGATAGCCACCTTCCTCCGGTAATAGGCAAAGAGCTTTTCTTGCAGAGACAGACGAAGGCGGGACTTTTTCAGCTCCAGTTGACTCCTCCTGGCAGATGGCTTGGGCTTTGTAGGTTGAAAGAAGTCTGCAAGACAGAAGGAAAACTGTTGATCATCTGCAGTATTTCACTGTGAAGCGTTTCGCAGAGGGAAATCTGCCGCGTGGAAGTGCAGCCTCCTAGGTCTCAAAAAGCTCTCAGAGGACACTTTGCATGCTTTACACAGGTACCAGTCAAAAGGGAGGTGCTGAGAAACTTCAAAAGATAGTACTATGAGCATCAAAACAGATAAAACAAATTACTAGATTTGGAATTTCACCAGAATAAGATTAATATTGTGCACAAGGAAGTAATTTTAATGGCCATGTGGGCAGCATCTCAGCTCAATTTCAAAAATTCAGTGCTATTACCAGTTCAGAAGCTTTTAACATGATGCCAAACCAGTGGACAAAACACTCTTGAACAACCATCATGATCTCTTTAAGTTTTTAACATTGTAAGAGACTATCACAAATTACCAGCAAACCCCAGTCCTGAAAGGGTATCAGATCAGAGAAGATCATGCCACCTGGAAATGAAATAGTTGTTAGGAGTCTGATCAGCACAGCTATCAGGATGAGCTGACAGATCTTGGGGCCATTCCAGCTCAGGCAATCATAGCTCCAATGAAAACCTCCCTCAAACCTTCAATGGTCGAAGAACCAAGAGCCCACTCTGAGGCACAGTACAGCTACACAAGGCTTTACGCTGCCATCTGAGTTATTAAGCAACTTCTGACCTGCACAGAGGCTCTAAGACCCTTTTTTTCTGACTGCTTTCCCAAAGAAATAAGACAATGCTTTCTATCTGTCTTTCAGATTTCTCTTAGTATGGACCAAGAGTTTCAGAAGTTATCCATGAGAGTTAAGGAAGAGTTACAGATCTAAGAGGTCTTTGGAAGGACTGTGGTACTTAAAGGGTGCAGAAGAAAACCCCCAAGTCAGTGGCCCCACTAAGGCAACCAGCTGTTGCAGAT